GACCAAAATCCAGTTTGTGGGAAACTCCAAAAATAAGTGTTATAGATTGAATTGTGTCCTCAAAATATGTGTTGGAATACTAACTCCTGTAACTACGGATGGAATTTGGTTTAGAAATTGGGATTTTGTTGTTGTTGTTGTTATGTTAACTAGGTTACATAAGAGTAGGGTTAGTTCTAACTAACTAACTAACTAAAAAACAAAAATTGCTTTTGAGTTACACACACACATACACACTATATGAGGATCACCTACAGATCAAGGAGCCAACAAGGAATGTCCGAGATGACCTACCAAGAAGGGTCACAGAGAAGACCCTGATTTGGACCTTTAGCTTTCAGAACTATGCAAAAATAAACTTCTGTCCTTTAAAGTCATTCATTTGTAGTATTTCTATCACAATTGTTGTTGTTGTTGTTAAGTGCCCTCGAGTTGATTCTGACCCACACAATAGCACCAAGGAAATTAAGGCAACAAAGACTTCTTTTCTTCAGCTAAGAAAATAGAAAAAGGAAGGAGAAACTGAGAGGTTAAAAGAGACTTGAGACACACCTACTAATTGCAGTATAGGAAATCTAGTTACGATCCTATTGCAAAAAACTTTTTTTTTTTTTTTTAAAAAGCAAATCTTAAAGCTTAAAATGAAAAAAAAAAAAAAATTACTGAGGCAATTAGGGAAATCTTACCACCAATAAAGTTGGCCAGGGAGAGAAGTGGTGGTCATGGTAGTTATGTGCTATGGAGTCGGTTCCGACCCATAGTGACCCTTTATAGGGTTTCTGAGGCTGTAAATCTTTATGGGAGCAGAAAGCCCCATCTTTCTTACAGAAACAGCTACAGAACAGCTAGTAGTTTCAAACTGTTGACCTTGAGGTTTGTAGCCTGACTCGTAACCACTTCAGTACCAGAGCTCCTTGGGGAGAGAAGTAGGTGGAGATATACTAGAAACATGACTAGCCAGAGGTAGTTATTGCTGAGGTTTGATGACAGACACATGGTGGTGGTCTTCATATGAATCTCTCTACATAACCACCATCACCACGCTTGTTTTAAAAAGGAGCTCTGGTAGCGTAGTGGTTACAAGTCGGGCTGCTAACCTCACAGTCAGCAGTTCAAAATTACCAGAAGTTCCCCCAGGAGAAAGATGCAGGGACACTCCACCACTCTTGTCTAAAGTTTTCCAAAATAAAAAGTTTAAAAGGCTATGAACACTCTGAATGTCTGAGTTTATTTTTTCAAGCTGTTTTTTTCCCCTTTTTCTTTTTGCCAATACTTTTTAAATGTCATAATTTTGTAGCCATGTAAACCATTCTAAGAATGCCTGGTATGGTGCTGTAGGATCATCACTAGACTGAGAACCACAAGATGGGCAGTTCAAACCCACCAGCTGCTCCTCTGAAACCCTATCAGGGTTGCTATGAGTTGGAACCAGCTTGCAGCACATAACAATGACAACCAACCATTCTAAATTTTTTAAGTGGTAAGGTGAGGCAAAAGTATAAATAAATTAGTGTGTGTTTGTGCTTTTTATACTTAGATCTTTACCTACATACATACAGGTTTTTGTTTCAGTTACTATGCCTTTTGAGTTCATTTATTGACCTAAGTTGGAACCGTGATTTTCCTCAGTTTGTTTTTACTTCCTTATGTACCCATCTCACCTTCTAAATTATGAGTATTTTCCTCACGTTTATCCCCTTTATCACTGGATACCTATCTACAAACATCCATCTGTGTATAGACGATACATACATGTTGCTATGATGCTGGGCTGCTAACCACAAGGCCAGTAGTTCAAATCTACCAGTTGCTTTGTGGGAGAAAGATGAGGCTTTCTGCTTCCATAAAGATTTACAGTCTCTGCAAAGCTATACAGACTGCTTAAATCAGAACTGACTCAGTGGCACACAACCAACCAACCAATGCTGCTGGAAATTTTGCAAGTGATATTTTAACACCAGTAAGAGCGTGATGTCCTTATGTGGTGCTGTGGGTTAATGCACCAGACTCCAAAGCTGTTTGAACTGCAAGGTTGGTGGTTCAAGCTCACCAGTGTCTCCTTGGAAACCCTATAAAGGGTTGCTATGGGTCGGAATCGACTTGACGACAGTTAACAACAACAACAAAGAGTGTGATGGCTCTGCAGGATAAACACTATACTACTAGACACAAGGTTGGCGGTTTAATATCACCAGCAGCTCCGTGGGAGAAAGATGAGACTTTTTGCTCCAGTAAAGATTTACAAAATACCTATGAACCTCAGAAACAAGGTCACTATTAATCAAAATCAATTTATGGCAGTAAGCTTGTTTTTTTTTTTTTTTTTTTGCAGGACAACCATAGTGGATATATTTTAGTAAAACTTCCAGTTTAAGACAGACCTGAAGGAACGGCTTAGCAATTTGTTTCTAAAAGTTAGCTGATGACAACTTGATGCATCACAACAGAATACTGTTCAATATAGTGCTAGAAGATGAGCCCCCTGAGTTGGAAGACACTCAAAATACACAGTGGCCCCAACAATGGACTCAAACATACCAATGATTGTGAGGATGGTGCAGGTCAGAGCAACAGTTTGTCTGTTGTACACAGGATCGCCATGAGGTGGAGCCCACCCAACAGCAACTAACGCTAACTAGAGTCTGTCTTTGCTGTCTCCATTATTGATTTACTTTGGTGATTACAGTTTTTAACTTTACTGCACTGTAATCTTTATTTTTATCCCTGCCTCGGAAACACTGTACAGGGTTGCTATGAGTTGGAACCGACTCCATGGCACATAACAACAACAACAATAATTCGCATGAAGAAATCCTAGTGTGGCACTGCAGGATAAGCCCTGAACCACAAGGTCAGTTTGAACTACAAAGAAAGTGGTTCAAATGCACTAGCTGCTCCTCAGAAACCCTATATGGTGTCGCTGTGTCAGAACTGATTGAATGGCACACAACAAAAACAATTCCCATGGAGGAGTTGGGGTGTGGTGCTATAGGATAAACACTGGACTGTTAACCACAAGGTCAGCAGTTCAAACCCACTAACTGCTCCTTATAAGACATATACAAGGTCACTTTGAGTTGGAACTGACTCAATGGCTATTAACAACAACAACAATTTCCATGGAGGAGTCCTGGGGTGCACTAATAACCACAAGGTCAGCCATTCAAACCCACCAGCTGCTCCTCAAAAAACCCTATCAAGGTCACTATGAGTTGGAACTCACTTGACAGCACTTGATAACAACAATACCAACATGCCCATGGGCTGGCAGCAAAATGAACAAATCAGTCTTAGAAGAAATACAACCAATATAATTCTTAGAAATGTGGATGGAGAGACTTTGGCTCACTTACTTTAGTCATATCATCCAGGACAGACCAATGGCTAGAAAAAGGACATCATGTGTGGCAGAAAATCAGTGACAAAGAGGGAGACGGATAGACACAATGGAGTCAAATACGAGTTTACCAAACATGCAGACGATGGCAGTGTCCTGTTAGGTTTTTTATAAGGTCACAGTGAGTTACAGCTGATTGCATGGTTGTGCTGTTGTTGTTATTGTTAGATGCTGTCAAATCAGTTCCAAACCTTTTTTGAGGGCTCTCTACTTTATCAAGCATGATGTCCTTCCCCCAGAAACGACTCCCTCTTGATAACATGTTCAAAGTAGGCGAGCTGAAGTCTCACCATCCTAACTTCTAAAGGAATATTCTGGCTGCACTTCCAAGACAGATATGTTTGTTCTTCCAGTATCCATGACCTTCAACATTCTTTGCCAACACCATAAATGAACTGCATGAATTCTCCCATCTTCCTTATTCATTGTCCAGCATTCACATGCATATGAGTTGACTGAAAATACCATAGTTTGGGTGAAGGGCACTTAAACTGACATCTTTGCTCATGAACACTTTAAAGAGGTCGTATGCAGCAGATTTGGCTAATGGAATATACCATTTGGAGTCCTGGTGTGGCACTGTGGGTTAATGCACCAGATTGCAAAGCCATTTGAACTGCAAGGTTGGTGGTTCAAGCTCACCAGTTGCTCCTTGGAAACTCTATACAGGGTCACTATGGGTTGGAATCGACTCGACAGCACTCAACAACAACAATACACCATTTGGTTTCTTAACTACTGTTTCCATGAGCGTGGACTGTAAAATGACCTACTGGTAGCTAACAACAATTCTTAATAGTGGCAATGTCCTTTCTTAACTTACTGGGAATTCAAGCTATCTTTCTAAATTTTTCTTCTTTCATGTAATAAATCTATTTCAAGTGGATGATTTACTCCCACTTCATTTTTTATTCTCCTCTTCTTTTGCAAATGCCATAGAATTTGCTCTTTTCTGTTTAAGTAAGTCATTCTGATCTTCAATGGTCTTTGTCTTGAGAAATTAGGTTCCAAGCATCCCTTTGAGTGTTCTGGGTCCAGAGTCAGAGGGTAGACTGGGTGAGCTGGATGAAGCCTGCTGATGCCTGGAGCCAGAGGACAAGCTAGTGCCGTTCTGGTCCTCAATGTTGCCTTGGAAGTGTGGATGAATGCAGGGAAGCTGAGCCATTGGCAGGACTTGGTGCTGAAACTCACGGTGAGTAAGAAGCAGTCTGCAGAGGCTATGGGCACTGCTAGATGACCCACAGATTTTTGATGGGATAATGCACTGGACCGCAAGGTTGGTTTGATCCACAAGGTCGGTGATTCAAATGAGCAGGGCAGCTCCTCAGAAACCGTATATAGGGTTGCTATGAGTTGAAACCGTCTTGAAGACACTTTTACAACAGCAACATACTAAAACGTAAACAATTGGATCATATTAACTTACTTTGAAAACAAACAAAGGTAGAATCTGGAGAATACAACAAACAAGCAAATAAAACAGGACTCAAGAATCCTCTGCTCAGGCAAAAGAAAGCCCAACCCCAGAAACAATCTGTGCCTCAGATAGCACACAAGTTTTAAGGTTGTTTGGCTACTTTTAGATGTATGCAAATAAACATACCAAAGTGAGAGACTTCCGGGGACTGGAGCTTGTCCAACATTAGCTTTATGATAAGTTCATCTGGGACACTTTGACCACTGATCAGCAAAGCTTGCAACTAAGAATAAGAATAGATATTATATGTTATTGCTTAACATATCTGTGATACAGAGCTATTTTGTCACAGTAACTCTGAAAGTTAGATATGCTTACCATTGCTCCTGTTTGGGTTCCAGTAGCAATTTGTTCCTCCAAAACCGGTAAAGCTAAACCACGAATTAAAATATTAGGAAAAACTGGCATGAGGATTGCCAACGTAACAAATATATATATTTGAGTGGTTCTGTGATAAAGATTAACATTTATATATCACTATAGCATTTACAAAGCATATTTATAAACATTGTATCACTGAAGTGTAAACAAAGCAAGAAACAGCCGAATATAATACATAGTGAACTTGTCTCTGCCACATGCTAGCTCAAAATTGTGGGAAGCCCCCTTCCTAAACACTTTGCACCAAGAGAATTAATGTGAAGTCAAAATGAGATGCTGTGTAGGCCAATGATTTGTACATTCAATGAACAGTACTGCATAGAAGTATACACTAGTGTTATTGGTCCACTACTTTTATAACCATACAGTTATAACCAGAATGTACCACTTCTGCACTTGGTGACCGGAAAGGGAATATACAAAGGAGGGAGGTTGGCAGAAGAATGATGAAAACAGGCGAAAACACAGGAAGGAATGCATGCATGAGCTAAAGGGGATAGAGGTAAATAGTATCACATACACAATGCTGGAACAACAGTGTTAGGTGGACAGATTCATTGAAAGATACACAGGCTGAATGGGTATAGGAAGGAGAGTGGGACAATACCCACAAATATAGAAGGATTTGAAGAGGCTATTTGTATATGGATATTTACTTTTGCTGCAAACACACCTATGAATATGGGGTGCATACAGGGGAGAAAATGATGAAAAATTATTAGGTTTTCTCAAACATCTTAAGGCAAGTCTCAGGGGACTGCGTGGTCACTTGGCATAGCATAGTCTACAATGACAATGTTCTATATGCTACTTTGGTGAGTAGTGTCTGGGATCTTAAAAGCTCATAAGCAGCCATCTAAGGTGAACCTTTTGGTTTCTCCATGTGCAGAAGAAAGAAGAGTGATGAACATTGAAAATGCTTGGGATCAACTAGTCCAATGGACCAATGGAGCAGGTGATCACCAGTTACCACAACTCTGAGACCAGAAGAACTAGATGGTGTCCAGCTATTACTTCCAACTGCTCTGAGAGGGCACATTAGAAGGTCCTGGATAGAGTGGAAGAAAATGTGGAACAAAACTCTAAATTATTTTTAAAAATAGCAGTCAGAATGAGACTGGAGGAACTCAAGACTACTGCCCCTGACCACCCATCAGGTCTGGAATGAAATTCACCATGATGGCCCAATATAGGGGGGGACAACAATAACATGCTCTCCATGGAATGAATGGTCAATCATTCAAGATCAAAAGAGTAACATTTACCTAAGGGAAAAGTTGAGAAGGTATAGGAAGGAGGGTAGAATGGAAATAGAAACCACAGGGAGGAAGTCGGACCACTGTTATTGCATAGAAGGATTGTAATTGAGATGCAACAAAGTGTATGATTCATTGACTGTAAAACTGATGATCTTCCCTTCACTCAATTCACACTAGAATGATTAAAATAAATAAATAAAATTCATTGTCAATTTGTTAGGTAAACATGGATTGTTGTTAAATATTGTCAAGTCAGTTCTGACTCATAGTGACCCTCTATAGGGTTTTCGAGGAGCAGGTGGTGGACTTGAACTGCCGATCAGCATTTGAACTGCCAGTGGTGATCCTACAGTGTGACACTAAATGGATTAGTGCTATTTTAACCAGCATTTCTTTATGTAACAGTGAGTTTTCATTCTATTTTTCTTAAGTAAAAGGAGTTTTGGTAGCGTAGTGGTTACGAATCGGGCTGCAAACCTTAAGGTCAGCGGTTCGAAACTACCAGCTGCTCCGTGGGAGAAAGATGAGGCTTTCTACTCCCGTAAGGATTTACACCCTCGGAAACCCTGTACAGGGTCGCTATGGGTCAGAACTGACTTGACAGCACTCAACAACAACAACAACAACATTTATTCTATATTTAAATTTTTTTTTCATATATCTTCTGTTAATTTTTTACTATGGCATAAATCACTTTATTAAAAGAATATTTATATCTAAAGATTTCAACTCACTGTCCTACATATTGCAGATAACATTAAGCAGTTTATAAATAAAAAAATTAAATTTATCTTCAGAGATAATTAAGTTCTGGAAAATGATCTTAAGAAGAGTTATGAGAACTCATTCATTTCTTATCTTTCAAAAGAAGTCAACTAGAGTATACATAGGGAGCCCTTGTAGCGTAGTGGGTTCTGCATTGGGCTGGTAACCACAAGGGTCAGCAGTTCTAATCTACCAGCTGCTCCCTATACAGGGTCGCTATGAATCAGAACTGACTCAATATCACTCCACCACCACCTCACATTAATTTCCTTATGGTGGTGGTGATGGTGGTGGTGGTGTGCCATGGAGTCGATTCCGACTCATAGCGACCCTATAGAGGGTTTCCAAGGCTGTAAATCTTTACGGGAGCAGAAAGCCTCATCTTTCTCCTTAGGAACTACTGGTAGTTTCGAACTGCTGACCGTGAGGTTAGCAGCCCGACTCATAATCACTATGCTACCAGAGCTCCTTACAAGTATCTTTAATTATATGGAGTCCTGGTGTGGTGCTGTAAGGTAAGCACTAGACTGCTAACTACAAAGTCAGTGGTTCAAACCCACCAGCTGTTCCTTGGAAAACCTATACAGGATGGCTATGAGTTGGAACTGATTCGATAGCAACAACAAAGTATCCATTTCTATACCAATTATCTAAATTATAGACGCTGAGAATTAGAGTCAGTACAGTGGGCTAATGGACATTTCATAAATCCTCCTAAAGTCTATGAATACTACTAGGATTAACAGAAGGGCAAAACATGAATAATACTATTATAAAGACAATATTTGATAGGTTGCTAGGTGAACAGACATATGATAATGCAAATATAGCAAAATGTTAATCAGACACCTTTGATGGTGAATATATGGATGCTCACCATACAGTTATTTCAATTTATCTGTATATTTGCAAGTTTTTATAATAAAATATTGAGGGAAGAAATAATATTTACCTTCAACACGAATGCATTTCCATGCCTGTGCTATCAGACGGGCTAATATTGTTTTACCAATCCCCTTAAAAAAGAGAAACAGTATTTATAAGCCAATAGATTAGTTATTTATCATATGTTGGTGAAACAGATATCCCAAAGTTTAAAGATTCTGTTGGTGGTGATTATTACATCAATCTTATAAGGTAAAAATGTCTCCTACACAATAATGAAGAGCATATTCTAGACATGTAGTGTTTTTGGTTCCTCGCCGATTGTCCCATATGCCACATTTTATGAACTAATCCGAAAATGCAATTTTTTTTTTTATTAAGACGACTGCTCTGAAATCAGGAAGCTATACATATCATAATGGTACTCTGTCCTCTCTGCCAAAGATTTACTATAAAAAATTCTTATAATGCAATGAAAAATATTTACTACATGAATTCTGATTATATTGAGATTCATTATTTTATTCCCTTCATAAAGTTTAATTCATGACTTTTTAAAAAAAGTTTTATTGTGAATTATGTGATAGTTTACATGGGAGAACATTAGTTTTACATTCATCCTATTGTGTATAGTTTCATTGCCATGGTTACAATCCCCTCCATGTATCATCAACCAACCAAAGGCTATACCCTGCAAGCCTGTCTCCCGGTCCTCAGTACACAGCCTCTCTCCCTCTTTGGGTGTAGAGTCCCCAGCCACTCCATCTCTCCACGTCATCATCTCTGCCTCTATCTCTGGCATCACTACTTCACTGAGTAGGGTCCCGCTCTCTGCTTTTCTCCCAGGGACCTCTGCTCCTAGACTGCAAAGTCAATCCCTCCCCTC